CGACCAGCCCCGATCACCTGCCAGGCCGAGGGACCCCACCTATGCACGAATTTGTGCATCCGGCCTCTAGTTTTATATAAACAGCCTTTGCAACTCAGGTTTTAACATCAGTCATAAGTGTCTGATCAGTGCCTAGTTCTATTAACATGAGACTCGCTGGAAGTCCCAGTTTGCCCACGTCCAATCTTACCTTCTGCACCTGCCTCCAGCTCTGTGCCCTACACTAGCTCAGCTCCTGGTGGACCTCCCCCAGCACTACCCCAGCCAAAAGCAGTCCAAAATTTGTTTAGAAGTCAATACAAGTATTCAAAAGAAAAGACAAGGACGGCTTACCATCTTCACTTCTTGAAGGACTTTCTCTAGCCATTTCAATATCTTTTACTTCAAAATTAGTCAAGACAGAGCCACCCGCATCTTGAAAATCCTGGGCAAATGACAAAGCCACCAGACGATAGTCCACAATGCCAGTATATGGGCAATCAATAGCCATCAGACCCTGGGATAGAATTATGAAAAAGTCAAGACACTACAATTAAAAATCACCAAGAACAGTTTGCTGAATAAATTTTATTTTGTGCTGAAATTTTTTTTTTTTGCATATGTGTCCTTTTTTATTTTCCCCTGCCCTTGACAATCCCCTGGCCTCCCCTACCCCCCAGTGTCTTATGTCCATTGGTTATGCTTATATGCATGCATACAAGTCCTTCGGTTGATCTCTTACTCCCCTCCCTTCTGCCCCCCAACCCTCTCTGGCCTTCCCACTGCAGTTTGACAATCAGTTTGAGGCAGCTCTGCCTCTGTATCTATTATTGTTCAAAAGTTTGTAATGGTCTTTATTATCCATGAATGAGTGAGATCATGTGGTATTTTTCCTTCATTGACTGGCTTGTTTCACTTAGCATAATGCTCTCCAGCTCCATCCATGCCGTTGCAAATTGTAAGAGTTCCTTCTTTTTTACAGCAGCATAGTATTCCATCGTGTAGATGTACCACAGTTTTCTAATCCATTCATCTACTGATGGGCACTTAGGCTGTTTCCAGATCTTAGCTATGGTGAATTGTGCTGCTATGAACATATGGGTGCATATATCCTTTCTGATTGGTGTTTCTTGTTTCTTGGGATATATTCCTAGAAGTGGGATCACAGGGTCAAATGGGAGTTCCATTTTTAGTTTTTTGAGGAAATTCCATACTGTCTTCCACAGTGGCTGCACCAGTCTGCATTCCCACCAGCAGTATGTGCTGAAAATTTTTACTGGTTATTTTGATGGGTAACACACATTATGCTTTCTTGAGGGAAAAAAACCCTGATAATTTTAAAGAAAAATAAAATAAAAGCTTGCTCCATAGTTCCTGAATTTGAACTTGAGTATACAGGGTGGGGCAAAAAGTAGGTTTACAGTTGCTCATATGGAAAATGATACAATAATTAAAAATATATATAAGAGTGAATCCTGTGTTTCATGTTCTCATAGCTGTAAAAATACTTTTGCCTCACCCTGTAGGTATATACTAGATGCCCGGTGCACAAAATTCATGCACTGAGGGCAGGGGGTGTCCCTCGGCCCAGCCTGAGCCTTCTCGCAATCCAGGACCCCTTGGGGGATGTCTGACTGCCGGTTTAGGCCCCATCCCCGCAGGTCAGTTGGACATCCCCCAAGGGATGTAGCAGTGCGCCAAATGGCAGGTGGCCAGGAGGAGCCAGAACCCGGGGCAAGGCGCCACACCGCTCGCACTCATCCCAGCCTGCTGCACCTGCTGCTGCCACTCAGTAGTGCTGCCACGGAGTTGGAAGAGGCTTCCGCATCTGCAGCTGTGCTCGCCAGCCATGAGCCTGGCTTTTGCTGAGTGGCACTACCCCTGTGGGAGCGCAGTGACCACCAGAGGGAAGCTCCTGCATTGAGCATCTGCCCCCTGGTGGTCAGTGCACACCGTAGCAATTGGTCGGCCAGTCATTCTGGTCATTCTGTTGTAATGGTTGCTTAGGCTTTTATATATATAGATTCAATATGTCCAAACAGATATAAGAAGTAATACTAACTAAATAAGAAAATTTCTATAATCAGAAAATAATTCTCCTCCTTAAAGGAGTTCATTTTGCTAGGCCCTTCCGGCTGCTACAATGAGTTTTTCAGTTTTATTCATCCCTCATCCAAATTCATATCTGATTGAGCTGAATTCTGTATCACTAAACAATTATTTTTTTAATTTAATTTTTCTCATCATCATTTATCCCCTCTCCCACCTTCCTCTCCACCTCCCCTTCCCACTGTTGTCCATGTCTATGAGTTCTCTTTTTTTCCTTTTTTTCTCAACCCCTCCCCCACACCTGCCCCCAAACACACACCAGAGCTGGCTGCTTGCTCTCTATGAGTCTGTCTCTATTTTGCCTGGTAGTCAGTTCAGTTTGTTCATTAAATTCCACATATGAGCGAAATCATATGGTACTTGTCTTTCTATGACTGGCTTATTTCACTTACCATAATGTTCTCCGATTAAAGTTTTAAATAAACTCCACTGAGATTTTCCTAGTAGTGGATTATATGTCATACACACTCAGTGAAAACTCAGAATTGTTCATATGTTTGCAAAGCATTGATTTGATTTGCTGCAGACTCTATTTTCAAGACTGCAAATACTGAATGAAGATCACATATGGCTAATTCAAACTTTCTCTTCAGGTGTATGAGAAATTAACAGCCTGGGTTGTTCTTCTGGTGTGTGTGTTTGTTTGTGTGTGTGTGTGTGTGTGTGTGTTTTGCCAAGATATGTTCAAACTCTATAGATGAATGATTTATAAGCATTACTTAATTTTTTGGAATAAATGTATCCTTTTCTAATTCTGAAGAAAAGGATAAAAGTAGAATTTCACACACTAAGTATGGACTACACTTTGAGGAATCCTTAGTGATAGTACCATTTTATCTTGCCTTAATGTGTATGAGATTAGTTTTCTCTATCAATCTTCCTTATGAGGATTGCCTGGTTCCAGGATGACTAAGACCTAGAAACTGAGTATGACTGGTAAATGCTGCTATCTTCTTGTTTGGTCAGCACAGAATGTCACTATATTACTGTATTCAGTGCCCCACCCCTATCCCAATACATTTACCTGCTTATCCTTCAAAGCTTTTGACTTTGCTACCCACCCCTGACCAGTATTGCCATGTGCCCAGATCACACTAAGGGTAAAGGCTCACAAAACACCCAACAGTCTATCTTCACGAACTAAAAGCAACATTTGAAAAACCTCACCATTTTCCTGATGGTCTGCTTCTAGAATATGAGAGCATTTGCCCAAGTACAGGAAATCAGTCCTTTTGTTTTGATAGAGTAGATACACTAAGATTTTATATTAGACTTTATATGGCTTGACAATCCCTAAATTCATAGGTCAATAGCTATAATTCAATTTCAACCTATAAATAGTATTTTGGGTACAATAATCTTAAAATCTAAATTAGGATAATACCAATAGTTTAGTCACAAAAACTTTCTTACCTAGCATAAAACTCTGTGACAAGTATAACAGTGGGATAAAAGTGTGCTGTAAAAATGCTCCATATCAATAGATTTTTGGAATTCCAAGTATCTTCATATATTCCTATTACCTAGTATAATGCCTGACACACAGAAGGCACTCAAACATTTACTAAATGAATGAACTTTTGAAGGTTGCTATCTTTAAACATACCAGATATTTTCCCTTTCTAGACCTTCTCTAAAAGATTTCCTTTCTTTTCTTTCCCTTTCTAGTTTTGACCTTGGCCTTGCCCCTCCTCATGAGATGCTGGTGGGCCCTACCTATACATGTATGTTGGGGGAAGGTGGAGCGAGTCACTGCCGCTAAGCAATCCAATGCCCTAGCCCAGGATGGGGGTTGGATAGGCTAGTAGTCTGCCAGGAGCTGGGCATGCACTGTCCAGGTTAGCAGGCCAGAACTTGAAATCTTAGGCCAAAGCAGGTCAGATGGCTAGGAAAGAACCAGGCAAGCAAAACAGGGAACATGGCCTTGACTGGTTTGGCTCAGTGGATAGAGCATTGGCCTGCGGACTGAAGGGTCCCCGGTTCGATTCCAGTCAAGGGCATGTACCTTGGTTGTGGGCACATCCCCAGTAGGAGGTGTGCAGGAGGCAGCTGATTGATATTTCTCTCTCATTGATGTTTCTAACTCTCTATCCCTCTCCCTTCCTCTCTGTAAAAAAATCAATAAAATATATTTTTTTTAAAAAACCAAAACAAAACAGGGAACACTGGGAGTTAGAAGTCAGGAGGAACAGATGAACATGTGGTTGACCAATTAAAGAAAAGACAGATGGATCTGCACAGCTAAAGTCAGAAGCAGCAGTCAGGATCTGCCCAGAAGAGAGCTGTCAAGAGCTATCCTCCAAAGTCAAAGTTTGCAGAGCTAGTTTAAAATTTTCCAAAATGCTTCCCTGGGAGTACTTAAATCTTTTGCTGAAAGGAATCTGCTCTAAGAAGCCCTTTAGAGCTGCCCTAATATACTTTTCCTTTTGGAGGTCCTAGAAGAAACAGAAGTAACCTTGTACTATGCAAATTTTGCCCATCATTGCTGGTAGCAGTGGTGAGGTTGGGAAAGAAAGGAGGAATTTACTCAAGACACCTTTATGAAATAACCAGACTATATTTTCTACTATACTAGTATATTGCCACCCTAAATAGGCATTGAAAATTACAATGTGGCATAATATAAAGTAGATCACTTCTGCAGAGGCCTCAGAGAAAAGCAGGGCATACCTCTTTTATAAATTACACTAGTCATCTTTCAGTGGGGGTTCACCTAAACTCTCAGACTAAACTAAAAGCTTCTGATAAGCATGGTCTGTGGCAATGAGTTAGAAGCCAGACTCTTTAACATAGGTACCTGGAGTCCAGCTATTTTTCTTTTTAGTGCTTTTATTGATTTTAGAGAGAGGAAGGGAGAAGGAAAGAAAGATAGAAACATCAATGATGAGCAAGAATCATTGCTTGGCTGCCTCCTGTACGCCACCTACTGGGGATAGAGTCTGCAACAGAGTCTGCAACGGGGCATGTGCTCTGACCAGGAACCAAACCGTGACATCCTCAACCACTGAACAACACCAGCGGGCTGGAGTCCAGCTATTGCATATTGTCAATAAAAAGGTAGGGGAGAAGGAACAGGAAAAACAGCCATTCACTGTAACAGCCAGTGGAACTAGGGGTTGAACTGATAGTGTCTGAAAGGCTATCAAAGAAAGTTGTTATGCAGAGTATTATTTTTCATGTCTCTCTCATGAATAAAAGGAAGATTTTTCCCTATAGCATGTTTTAAGCAAGATACTCTACAACCCACTCTTCACACTCATGCCATCCTTATCTTCCTAAAATACAGACTGGATATCAAAGCCACTCTCCTCAAAAATTTTCAGTGGCTTCTGTGCCTACTAGATAAACTACAAAGTTATCAGCATGAATATCAGGCCCTTTATGTGGGCCTAATCCTGCCTTTCTAGTCTCACTTTTTATATTTTCCTATACACCCTATGATCCAACCACACCTCACCGTGCTTTCCAAAGATGTCATATGGTCTCAAGCCTCCTCTTGCATTTGCTATGTCCTTCAGACCTGCTATTTTTTCATTACTGTGAGTGAAAAGAGGGGTTCTATGGAAAGTAACCTCACAGGGTGACCTGATCATAAATCCCTAACTTGACCGGTCATGGTGGGTAGTCATGTCCCAGGCATACAACCTCTTCAGTAAAAAGTTTATCTTTGCGACCTGGCTGGTGTGGCTCAGTTGGTCTGAGCATTGTCCCATGCACCAAAAGGTCGCTGGTTCAATTCTTGGTCAGGGCACATACCCAGGTTGTGGGTGCGATCCCAGGTCAGGGTGCGTACAGGAGGCAACTGATCGATGTTTCTCTCTCTCTCCCTCTCCCTTCCTCTCTTTCTCAAATCAATTAACAATATAGCCCTGACCAGTTTGGCTCAGTGTTTTGAGCGTTGGCCTGAGGACTGAAGGGTCCTGGGTTCGATTCCAGTCAGGGGCATGTGCCTTGGTTGCGGGCACATCTCCAGTGGGGGGTGTGCAGGAGGCAGCTGATCGATGTTTCTCTCTCTCTCCCTCTCCCTTCCTCTCTGTAAAAAACCAATAAAATATATTTTTTTAAAATATATAATATATATATATTTTAAGAGGTTTATATTTGCCTTAAGCAAGCCTAGTCCATTGTGTCTGTGCATTTAGGTTAATACACCATAGAAATAAGCTGTAACCACCCCCAAGAGAGCACATAATCTTGCTAACTATCTTAATCTAATCCCTGCCTTGCTTTCTCTCACCTTCCTGTAAACTTCCCTCCTTAATTTCAAATGCATAAAAGAAGCTGTAAAACTTATTCTCCAGAGCATCTGAGATCTTGCTCCCTGGCATATGTCATCAGTTTGGCTCAAATAAACTCTTAGGAAAATTCTCTACAGCAAGCATGTCAAACTCGCGGCCCGCTTATTTAAATGAGGCATGAGACCTGCCAGCTGCGAGTTTGACACGCTTGCTCTATGGGTTTGGATATTTCTTATAATGACTTAGGGAAAGAAGAAATCAAGTGTCCAGAGTTTGTGGCAATGCCCTCTTGTGTTTGTCACCCCACTGCTTTTGTGACAGGATTATCTGTTTCTATATAATTCCTTCTCCTATAAATTCACTTTCAGCCTCTATGTTCACAAGACCGAGCCCTAAATGAAAATGTCCCTGTGAGCATGTGTGTGGAGTTGTAAATCACTTACCCTACAATATGGCTCCTTCTTTTTTATATCCTCCTGCTGGATCAGCCTCAGGCCCTGGACACCATTCTGCAGGCCTCTCTCATAAAGGGCCTGAAGTCTGGGAATTTCTTCTTGTTCGACAGCTACTATAAGCTTCAACAAATGATAATATGAATAGAGTTAAACAAACCATCAGCTATGAAAGATAAAGTGACTAGAAAAATCATAAATTGTTACATGACAAATTGGATCGATTTTTTAAAATTACTTTTTCTTCATGTATCTACTTCAACCTTCCTTCATGACTTCGTTTTCCTCCTCCACTGAAAAAAGTTCCCTTAAGAAAACTGCATAAGCCCAGCTTATATAGTGGTTGAGCGTCAACCTATAAATCAGGAGGTCACAGTTCGATTCCGGTCAAGGCAGATGCCCGAGTTGCGGGCTCAATCCCCAGTGGGGAGCATGCAGGAGGCAACTGATCAATGATTCTTTCTCATCATTGATGTTTCTATCTCTCTCTCCCTCTTCTTCCCTCTCTGAAATCAATAAAAATATATTTAAAAAAAGAAAAATACATGAAAAATTTTCCTCAAAGTTGAGATGTAATCTCAATTTCTACTTCTGCTATCAGCCACTACATACATCTTAGCCATAATCAACTGATATCACATTCACTCCCTCAGTCCCAGAAGGGAGAGAAGCACTCGATTACTTAATCTTTACATAAAAAAAAAAAATCAGCAACAACAAAACAGAATGGCCTTCTTCTTTTTTTCTATAAGAGAATGTAAAATACCAGTACATCAAGAAAACATTTGGTATTCAGTATAATGGGATATCATAAACAGAAAACTATCCATTTTATTTCCTGGAATAATGTACATTACAAAGTATTTACTAATGCATTCTGTTGCAAAGAAAAAAATAGGTAAATTTATCGACTTTACTCAAGACTCTTTTTCTACTTTTATCTGGGCAAAGTATCTTTTTAAATTAGTTTCTTGCCCTAACCGGTTTGTCTCAGTGGATAGAGCCTCAGCCTGCGGACTGAAAGGTCCCAGGTTCGATTCCGGCCAAGGGCATGTACCTTGGTTGCGGGCACATCCCCAGTAGGAGGTGTGCAGGAGGCAGCTGATCGATGTTTCT